ATGCAGTTAAAGCTGAACTTGATAAGCTTAAAAACAAAAATTTTGTATACTGTTTTGGGAAGTGAATTTATAGGCTTAAGAAACGCATTGAAATCAATGGTGATTATGTAGAGAAGATAAAAAAGGACAAAACTTATGAATTTTGTTTCTTTTTCTTTTCTGCTCAACTTACCGAGCTTTTGTTAATCAACTCGTTTATGGTAATTTCTTTTGTGGATTCGAAACGTAAATATAAAGAGTTTATAGCAATTTTTTCTCTGAATTTTGTTTTTTTATAGAGATTGAACCTTGTCATTATATGTGAAAAATATCTTGTAGAAACTACACATTGTCCAAGTCGTGTTCTTCAATTGCAGGTCTAAAGAAGTCGGTTATCATACGACCATAAGACTCCGAATCGACAGTGACAGTCTCGCCACTGGCTTTTGCAAAGAAATAAGGTCCAACACACCTCCGTCAATATTTCTTATTACAAATCCCCTGAGTGAAATGTGTCTCGCTGTTGAAGAAAATATTGGTCGAAAATTTGCAGTTTATTGTTTGCTTCAAGATTACCGTAAACCTTGGGAATGGTCAGTTGGCTTCAGTAGCTAAATCTGACTTCTTAGCAACAACCTGATGCACACAACTTACTATAACTGTAACCGATCAAGTGTCATCAAATAACTTTAAAATTTACAAATTTCTTAAGACGTTGAACAGTTATGTGCACCATACGTGTAATCTCCACTTAAAGCACGAAACGTGGCCGCGGTTGAATCACCATAGTTTGACACTTAGGCTTGACAGATGTCAAAATGCAGCCCTGTACTTTGGAAACCCATGAAGTTTGGTTGAGTTGGGCACAGTGGTTCTTAAATCCAAAAACGTGCCCAAAAGCCGGAAAAAAAGTTTAAGTTCGGGACATGTAATACCTGAAATAGTTGGGTTGGTATGTCTACTGTGATAAATTACCCATTTAGAGAGTCTATTGTGCACATCTGGCCATTAGAAGCCGCTCTGGTCTAAACATCATATCGACTTTGTATTTCAAACGAAACGAAACGCATTTTTCAAAACTTTCCCATTTGTCGAAGTTTTAGAGAATTTAACATTTGTGACATTGAATAGTCACAGGCTAATGAAACATTTGTAATATCGCTTTTAATCAATAATATATTTCAAAAACTATAGATTAGAAATTGTACAGGTCAAAAGCCCTACCACATCCCATTCTGAAATATTTTGTCTCGAAATCTGGACACATTTCTGTTTCCTTTAAAAAAAAAAAAAAAGAAAATTCGTCCCAACTTGCAACTTTTTGTTTTAAATGGGTACTCTCTGCAGCAATTAGTTTAAAGTTTGTATTATTGAATATTGAATAAAAGAATTTTTTGGAACTCAAATTTTTTTTTACTTCATCTCCAGTAATCGGAAATTTTCGAGTTCTAGCCACGATTTAGGCTTTTGGAACCACTGTGCGTCGTTGCTTTCTGGGGAGCAACCGTCCGTGACGACATCGGCAAGCAGTGACAACATAAGCGGTGTAAATGTTTCTGTTTTTCAGATTATACATTTCACTAAGCAATTGACTCGACAATGTTATTGTTCCCAATATGGAAGAAACATCGTAATTTTGAGAAATTCATAATTGCATAAACTCGAAAGATCACCATGGTTCATGAAGGGAGCAAAAAACTTTGTTCAACTGCAGTAAAATTTATAATTTTTACAATGTTCAAAATCTGGTTTATTTTGTACACACTTCGAAGGCCAATGAGCCACCACAGACGACTTTAATGCCTGAATTGATGGTAAATTCTATGTGGTGGAAGTGCAAGGAAATTGACTATTACGAGCTGCTAAAACCTGGCGAGAGATCAATTCTGAACTCTGCCATCAAAAAGTAATAATTGCAATTGAAAACGCCAGACTGAATACACTTTCGAAGACGAGGCAAAAATTGGCGGCACTTGCTTGGGAATTTCTAGTGCACTTTGACTTTCCTTAACTAATTTCAAGGTGATCTCGTTTATGGCACGAGCAAAAATCTATCAAGCATGTGCTTAGAAAAACCTATGACAATATTTATTCATCTTATAATAATGAACTTATTTTTAATTTCACCTAAATAAATATTTGAAAAAATTAAAAATTTCATATTTACTTTAATATTTTATAAAAAAGTAAAATTCTCACAAAACATTTAAGTGCAATTCATTTAATATTTACCCATTTTATTATGGCACCTTAACCCCAGAAGTACATATGGCAGTTCGAAGGTGATCACATGATTATGTGTCACTGCTCCTTTACACTTATGTGCAAATATTTTTTCACTCTTTCAATAAATTTTTTTGCTCGAAAAATTGATAAAATCCTTTGGAACTCGCTATTTTCAGAAAAGTTCAATTTTCTTCTCTAAACCTTCCATGTACATGAAAGAGAAGAGATCGAGCTACTCAAATTTAAACCTTACGGATCACTATGAAGCACGTGCTGTTTGGTACAATATGTGGGAATTGGGAATTTATTGTAGGACTAATTTTTTGTGAGGAGCCGTTAGTACTAAGGAACAGAACAGCCTACTCTGCAAGACAACCCACAGCAGCTATATGAATGAAGTAAGAGTCCAAAAGTCGCCTCATTGGTTAAAAAGCGCCAATAATTAATATTTTATTTACAATCAGACTAACTCCGGAACAAAGTTTGTAAAACATGCAAATTTATTGTCATAATTATGGTTTGATCCGCGCAACCAAAGATCGGTCTCACACTACGTTTACTCTAGTGAATAATCCGCATCCTTAGAGACGTCATTGCTAATGTGAAGCAGACTATCGAAGAAGATCCGAATGAGCCTATCCGCTATCGGGTCTAACAATTGGAGCTTTGCCCATACATTTATTGAAGATTTACCTTGCTTTGCGGGCTTACGCCGTGACAACCTCAAAACATCACTGTTTGATGTGCTCTGGGGGAAGAGAGGAGCATTGGTTTATATTTCGTGATATACGAAGCCTCCTTCGAACGGTCGATGGATTTTTATAAGGAGCTTTGATTTTCATGATAGAATTACACATGCAGAGCTCAACAGTCTCTGCCGAATGCTGGACCTGCAATTACAAAAAATCATTTTTATATTATATAATTGTGATGTTTGGTAAAACCCTGGCCTTTCAAATGTTAACCACTAGGATATGGATGAGCGTTATAGAGCCATGGTTAATGACTTTTTCGTGACCGTGTGAGGGGTAGTAAATGTGGACAACTTTTGGGTCCAACAAGATAGAAGATTTATTAAAGGAAAGTTTCGGAGAGCGCTTTATCTCGCGTCGTAAGAATTTGGCGTGGCCTCCAAGATCGTGCGGTTTAACACCGTTGTACTATTTTTTATGCTACTATGCGAAGCGTCTTGCCTACGCAGATATGTTCGGGGTGATTAAAGCTTTTGAAGAGAATATGCCGCGCTTTGTTGCCAATTGCTGCAAAAAATTCTCGAAAATTAGAGTTCTCGCCCAGAATTTATTCGTGTCGTGGCGTTCACTCACCCTCTACCACTTTTAAGCCACATCACAACACAAAAATCATGAACGTTCTTTATAGTCACCACGAAATCCTACGCGGAAATAGTTTCGCACTTATAAAAGGTGCAACTTTCAACTGAATAGGTACAATAGTTTTCCGTCTCTCAGCGAACCAAAACTCTCTTTTTTAAAGGTCGGCACCAATGTAGGTCTGACTTTAAGAAGCAGAGGTATGTCTGATGGCGCCATCAGATAAAATGGCGTTAGGAGCGAAGACATGGCTTAGAACGCATTTGATGTAGTAGTAGCTGGTGGAAGTAGAAGAAGTAGAATAAGATCTCTCTTTCGATAGAGAGATCAGCTGGAGCACGAACGGGCTTCCCTTGGTGTTTTCGCTTGGCGCCGAACCAAAAAAAAAATTAAACTTGCTTTTGTTGGTTGGACTATAACCGGATATAGGAATAGTCGACAGTACAACTACTTTGTAATTGAGGCACAGTTTGCTACCTCCGTCAATATTCTATTTCCTCACTCTTGATTCTTTTTAGTAATGTTGCCTTCGGCAATTTTTATAATGTCTGATTTTATTGAGGTTGAGGTTGCTACAGAAAACCTTTGGGGACTGAACTATGCCGCAGAAGAACGTGTATAAGTGGTAAAAAGACTTCAAAGAGGGTCAGAAATGTGTTGATGCCTTGGAGCGCACGAGACGACCATTAATGTCAACTGATGTGTAACACGTCAATGGAATTCAGAAGTTAGTGCTCAAAAATCGTCGAAAGACTGTTAGAGACCTTACTAATATATTAGAAATATCATAAATATCTGTAAAAAAGGCTATTTGGGAATACAAAAAGTCAAATCTAGTTTGGTTCTAAATTCCAATTTCATGAAAAAAATCGTCGCGTTGATGTGTGTGAAACCGTGCTTTCTGAAATACATGTTTACAGGAGATGCAACATGGACTTAGCACCATGTGCCTTTCGGCTGTTCCAAAAACTCAAGAGACCACTTCGGGGACACCGTTTTTAGACGATTGAGGAGATTAAACGTGAATCGGCGCACTCTCTGAAGGCCATGCCAGAACGTGACTATTTGATATGCTTCGATAATTGGAAAAAGCATTGGCATAAGTGCATTGCATCGGAAGAAGACTACTCTGAAGGCGACGAAATCGTTGCAGATGAAAAATAAATTATTAATTTTACAAAGAAACTCACCTTACTTTTTGCTCACAGTGGCATATAAAACACATATTAATTTACACTTATGATATTAATATTTATTATTTATTTGTATAATTAGTTAATCGCACATTAGTTAAATAAATACATTGTTACTATTTAAATATATACGACGTTCGATCCACAAACTTAACAGTTGTATATAAAACTATACAAATTAACTATTACTTATGTGCTTATTTTTATATGAATTTTTATGTATTATTATTTGTTCAAATGACGCCCACAAAAGAGTATATATGTATTTGCTTTGTAAACTTTTTTTTAATGTAAATAAGTATGTACAAATGAATTAGAATTGTTAGTCGGCAGCCACGAGAGTTTAGGAACACATATTCTATTTTAATCTTTTTCATAAACTTAAGTATATAATTATTAATATTATTATACAATTTTTATATTTACTTGGTTCAATGTTCCATACAAATCAGTCGTATTTTCTAACCCCTATCTGGGCTGAGAGAGTAAAATAATTCTTTTTCAAAAGCTCAGAACGACTTCTGGCAAGCTTAGCAAACATACATACATATATTCAAGTTCTCGTGCACAATAAGATTACTTTTAAATCATATTTAATTAGCTTTTCTTCCACTCTCCACTGCGGTCTATCTATCTATAATACATTTGAATATGAAATGATTTACCTAAATGTCATTTTAATGCGCTAGAAAAACAAACCACAATAATCGTGATGTAAATATTAAAGTATTTGCTTTCGAAATATTTTAACTGTGACTTCTTTCGCTAATATATATCACATAATTATTCCTATGTTACTCGATTGAGGTATAAACCTTGAGCACTTCATATCTCCTTGAGTTGTTGTTCAAACACTTTAGTTGCGCTATCTACTGCCTGGTCTCCGATTCTTTGCCAGAAAGCTCCATTTCCAAGTGTTCAGCATCGTAAATGACAATCAGTCCTTTATTCAGACCCTCAAACACTTGCGCGACACGACGCTGCAGATTATAGAAGTAGAGTTTCTGATTTCTTGCTTCAAAGTCGCTGATCAGCATCGAGACCACTTTGGCCGCTGTAAAGTCAGCGCCATAAATGTAGGTGCAATCAAGTACCACTGGCAGCGTCGATTTGCGTCCCTGCTTGTTGATTACATTGCGCACGAACTCAACCGATGGGAAAATGAGACAACGATCGGGTGTGAGCATAAGGTATTTAATGCCATTCGTAGTCTGATAGAGAAAAAGAATGAAAGAAAAAAACATTAAATATACATCATATATACATTTTAAAAGTGGTTGAGAATTGTGAAACTCAAAATTCGCAAGGAAGAAAAAAGTTTAATTTTCTTCTTCTTTTTTTTTAACTTACGCAAGCAGTTTCGACACGCAACTTGGGACGCGCAGCGCTATATAAAATGAAGACGATATTGATGCCAATGCCCACAAGTATGCCAATCTGCAGTGGCAGCAAGAGACAAGCAATGAAAGCGCTAATACCGGGTATGAGATCAGTTTCTACACAGCGAAGAAAAAAGTAATAAAAATAAAATATTTATTTTCAAAAAAAAAACCTTTGTAATTTATTGTGACCTACTTTTACTGCGCCACATTGGCTTAATGACACGATATTGCACCATAAAGATCACAGCGGCCAAAATAATGGCGGCCAAGGCAGCTTTGGGTATATAGTAGAACGCTGGCGTCAGCCAGAGCAAAGCAAAAATGACAATTACACCAGTGTATAGATTGGAGAGTTGCGTCCTCACACCACTCGCATTCAAAACAGCGCCACGTGCAATTGGACCATTGCCACGGAAACCCTGCGCAAAGGAGTTGCCAATATTACACAAACCAATAGCGATAAGTTCCTGATTCGCATCGCATGGTTTGCCATCAGCTGTAAAGAAAACAAATGAAAAACAGAGAGTGTGTTAAAATGTCGCGCTTATTTTGGTTTTTGACTACACTTTCGTACTTACCAAACGCCTGCACCAAAGCGCTATTCTCCAGCAAAGAAATCAATGGCACCACAATCAAACCAGCGCCCAAGCTGCTCACCATTTGTGCGAAATTCTCATGCGTTTCGATAATTTCACCGCTGCTGGAGTTTGTGTAGGTGGTCACCGAGAATGGTGGCACCTTAAATTCGGGCAAACCTTTTGGTACATAACCGACCATCTTGAAAATATCAATACCCGAGGTGCGCAATACATAACCCACGAGTGTAACCAATATGACAAGTACAGCATTGCGTGAGGTGCCAATCAACCAAATGGTCTTCTCAAGTATCTGCTGCCAAAGCTTCTTGCCCTCTTTCGGTCCAATCTTCACGGTAGTCATGGCGCGCATAATCAATAAAAAGGCAACACAACCAACACCCAAAGCGGTATCGTTCCAACTAATATTTTGTATATCATTCACAATTGAGATCCACATATCGACGAAGGTATCACCGGCTGTGCTCACCACCAGTATATCCTTCAGTTGAGAGGTGAAAATAATGAGCGCAACCGCACTAGTGAAACCCGCACTAACTGGACCAGATACAAAATCGATTAGGAAGCCCAGTTGCAATATGCCCATGAGTACTTCAATTATACCCGTTAGGAATGTGAGTAGTATAGTCTTCTCCAAGCTACCACGCGCAGTTTGATAGACGAGCAGCGCAGCAATGGCGGTGGGTCCAACGGGCACGTCTTTGCTCGAGCCGAAGAGTACATAAATGAAACAGCCGAAAAAGCAGCCGTAAAGACCATACTGTGGGTGAAAATGAGAGATCGAGTATTATTTAAAAAGAATTGAAATTAGGAATAGGAAATGAAAAATGTTTTATTCAAATTGGTTATAATATTTATTAGACAGTATGTAACAAAAGTAAGTGATCGATTATTTTTTTGTTATAGAGATTTTTGGTAATCGATTCGATCAATGGTAAGCAATGATTTTTAATAAATCGTTTACAAGAATAATATATTTAAAATATGTATAATCACTACATATGCGCCATACATTCCTTCTTTTCGCTGTTTGGGGCCTATTGGCAAAACCAAGTACAGCCAGATCCCACTCTATCTAACCCTTCCAACAGAGAGAGGGTCTTTCTCTTCCGCTGCTGCTATGTCAATATCTTACAGCTCATCGTTTCATCGGTTACAGTATTCGCCGTTCCCACTGCGGAAAAGTCCGTAAATCTTAAGCAAAACCTTTCTCTCGAAAACTTTCAAGACCGACTCATCATCGTCCATGCCTCCGCATCATCTAGTACGAAGAAAACAGTAAGCGACTTGTAGAGTTTGCATTTTGTTCGTCGAGAGAAAATTTGAGTTTTCAAGCAACTGTTGGAAAGAGTGATTTTGTGTTAGGTTTCTAGTCTGCCATTGTTGTTGGTGTTAATGACACTGAAGTGAAAGCCGATTCAGGATTACAATGGCTGTTTGTTTGATGACAGCAGATATTTCATCTTGCCCTCATTCACTACCAGACCCATTTGCTTCGCTTCTTTATCAAGTCTAGAGAAGGCAGAACTCACGGCGCGTATGTTAAGGCCAATAACATCGATATCATCGGCGTACGTCAGCAGCTGTGCACTCGTATAAAAGATTGTACCTTCCCTATTCAGCTCTGCAAATCGTATTATTTTCTACAGCAAAAAATCAAAGAAGCCACACGATAAAGAATCACCATGTCTGAAATCTCGCTTGGTAGCGAATGGCTCGGAAAGACACCTTCCCGATTGTGACGGAGTTTTTCGGTGCTGCTTAACGTCAGTTTGCACAATCGTGTAAGTTTTGTGAAGTTACCAAAATCAGACTTAGAGGCGTAGAGGCAGCTCCTTTTTGTGCTGTCGAAGGCCGATTTAAAATCGAAAAAGGTGGTGGGTGTCGATCCACTTTTCACGGGTCTTTTCTAAGATTTGGCGCATGGTGAATATCTGATAAATGGTGAATTTAACACGTCTGAAGCCACACTGATAAGGTCCAATCAGTTTGTTAATGCTGGACTTTAGTCTTTCACACAAAATGCGAGATAGTACCTTCTATGCGATATGGAGCAGGCAAATAAGCTGATCCGCTTCCACCTTTTTCTTTCCTCATCGCGATCTTTGAGTTGCTCGGTCGACAATCCATAAAATCGGCTGTAAGATAATCGATATTTTTGAATTTGAGCTTACTACATCCCTACCAAAGTTCAAAATAACAGTAAGAATTCACGTGCCACTTGTATAAATATTGTTATAGAAGACACATGTATGACGCATGTTTTGAACGAAATTTGTTCAGCATATTTTATGTGTGAGACACCATTAATAGAATATTTTGTTCAAATACTTATTAACAACAAATTTTTTCAATATAAATAATGAATTTCCTCATTATTTAACAAAGAACATATTTTATGCTGTTTAAACAGCGCAAGAAGTCCGAGGCTTGTGTCAGCCGTCTTATCAACTCGATTGTATCTGCTTTCTGTATTGCTCCGAAGAAAGTGCAACTCTTTTCCCTTGCAAAACTGCATTAATACGAGTACAGGTAAAAATACATCTTATGTATATATCAAAATTTCACGCTTCCGCCAGCCATAATGAAAGTCTCAAAGTGAAGAGTTCTTAACTCGGTTTCGCACTTAAATATGTAGATCGCATTGGAATTGATAAGCGCGTCTTGAAATATGTACATTATGCAAGCACGCTGACGCCAGCGACAGGTAGCAGTTAAAACACATTTATACAATGCTGTGTATTTATGTATATAACAAATATGAGTTTGCTTATGAAAAACGCAATACTCTTTACCCAAAATTTACATTTTATGAATGAGCGTTTCATAATGCATTTTAAAAATAATTTTATTTTAGTATGAAATAATTAACGCAGTAATAAGGCTAATGTAATACAACTTCAAAAACAAGAACAAGAAACATGTAAAAATAAAAAACTGAAAATAAAAATAAAAAATTCTCCGAAATTTACAAAAAAGTCTCACAAAAGACAATGTCAACAAAGAATTCAAATAAAACTTATTTGTATGCGGTTTATGTTGACCACAATGAGAAAAAAAATGAATTTAATAACTGTCAAACACTTGTTTGGGATTATCTGGAACGAGGAAAATACAAATTCATCGAATTCGCTTAATTTTCCAGGTAACCAGTTATTTATTTTCAGTTAGTTAATGACTCAGCGATATTTAAGCTAATGTGCTTTTTAAGGTGTGACTAAGTGAAGAGATCAGAAAGACGAACAAAAGCAATGCACAAATTACGGAAAATATATAATTAATACAGTTTCGGTTGAAAAGAGGTTATTTGGAAAATTTTGTTTTATTTAAAACCTTTGTGACGTATGTACATATGTATGTTGTAAATTATATTGAATACTGTTTATGTCCAAATAAAATTAAAGCTTTTGAAAGATTTGGAATAAAGTTATAAAAAATATATATATCTGGTGTCAAAGCCTATTTAGATCTCAGTATAGGTCTCATTGATATTTATAAAACTTTTGCTTTGTCCCAAAAAATTTGTTTAATATATTTAAATTTCCTACATAACTAAATATGCCCAACCAACGAAAGAATGTCATTTCGTTTTGTTAATATGAAAAATACATTTAAAGAAATGATTATTTTTAAAATGATTCCTCGCTATGATATGTGGTATGATGTGGCATTATCTGTTAGCGATTTAGCATTATCTGTTAAGGATTTAACTTTATCTGTTAACGATTTAGGATTATCTGTTAATGATTTAACATTATCTGTTAACGATTTATGTAAAAGACAAAATATTTAACATTGTCTGTTAACGATTTAACATTATCTGTTAGCGATTTATGTAAAAGACATAAGATTTTACATTGTCTGTTAACGATTTAACATTATCTGTTAATGATTTCACATGGTCTGTTAACGATTTATGTAAAAAAGAGAGCAATGTTAACACCTGACATTGTCTGTTAACGATTTAACATTATTTGTTAGCGATTTATGTAAAAAAGACTGCAATGTTAACATCTGGCATTGTCTTTTAACGATTTAACTTTATCTGTTAACGATTTAGCATTATCTGTTAATGATTTCACATTTTCGTTAACGATTTAACATTATCGGTTAACGACTTAACATTACCTGTTAATGGATTTTATTCGAGTAAAACCTAAATAATATTTATTTTGACAATTGCTTTAACGATAACATTTCCAAATTCTTCGACCGAAACAATTGGAATTTTTTTATTTACGTAAAATTCATTATTACGATGCAGCCTTGTACTAAACTCTTCAGTCAAATCGCAAAAGATTTTACATTTGCTAATTTGTTAAAAAAATATTTGCTAAACAATTTCATACTTCACAAGTGAAGAGCGACAAGTGTTAGTAGTAGCAGAGAAAGTTAATTTGGTAAAAATATATTTTTTTTGTTAGTACATATGTACATATGCAGACCATTATTTGCTTTATTATAGTTGCAGACTGAGTCATCATATTAAATCTTAGTTTCTCATAGTTTATTTTTTGATTTTAAGCGCATCTTTAAGCTGTAAAGCTATGTTTGAGGAGAAATATGTAATTTACAAGCAATATTATTATTTTTAGAAAAATTTTAAATTCTGAAAGCGAGTCAGATATTATATTTACGAAAATGGATCGCATAGCATTTGGACTTACGCCTACATTCATATAAAGTCCAGCTCACATCACAAGCACCTGGAAACCTATGTTCAAACTTTATATTACTTAAACTTTAGATGCCTTTTATTTATGTATATATTTTAAGCCACAAAATGAATTTTTATGAAAATTCAAAATATAGGCCAAGAGTAAGCTTCCATTTTGCAGATTTTTTCTAATTAATACCACTTTTTGATACATCAAAATCACACACTGTTCTAATAAAGCTTTCACATTTCAATTCATTAAATCCCCGATAATTAATTGCAATCAACTCACCTGCAGATCAAGGCCTGTTATGCCCGCATAAGCCAGACCTTGTGGTATCACAGTTAAACCGACAGTTATACCAGCCACTAAATCACCAACAAAATCATCGCGATTATATTTCGGTAGCCACTGTAGTATGGGCAAACGTTTGTATAGTGTCTTTTTGCGAAAAACATTCGATGCGGTACGTTTGACCCAATCGCCGGTGGTGTCGCAACAGCCGCGTTGACTTTGTGAATCATCATCCTGCACAATGCAATCACTACTGCCCGCGTATAGGCCGTTTGGTGGTATATCTAGTGTAACTTCAGAACCATAATTATCATTGCCCTGTTCACTGGGGGCGAGGCCACTTAATCTATCAGTGGTCATGTTTGTGCACTTTTTGTTTTCAAGGTGGATTAAATTAATTTTTTTTATATTTATTTACACTGAAAATGGAGAAAAGTGGAAAAAAATTTATTATCATTTATTCAAACTAATATGCGTTTCTATTATTCTTAAATTTTTAAAATGTATAAAAGATACATTTAAAAAATATTTTTCATTAAATTAATTTCATTTGCTTTAATATTTATTTTTTATTTATTACGTACACAACAACTCTATACCCCTTTTGTGGGTCAAAAACTTCTTTAATTGTTTATATATTTGCTTAACGCTAAAGATGAGTATTTATTTGTACGACTCTGTATTATGCGAGAAACGCGTGTACTTTACGTATACGCCGCCAAATCAGCTCAATTCAGCTCAACGTCAAATACGCGAATGCCACAAACCCGGCGTATGCCAAGTCTAAAAAGTGTGGCGATCTTGTATTAATCGATCTTGCAGTGCATTTCGACGCGGGTGTGTCAGTTCTCGAAAGTGCGGAAATCCCGAGCACACGAATGGCAATATACAAATTCGCAAGACAAGCAGCGACGCCAGCATTAACAGCAACGCAGGCGTCAGATAATAACAGCAGCAGAAAACTGTGAACTTACTTCACATCCCGGCGACGCGCTACAGCTGCGCTTCGAGAGCAATCCGTTCGACTCGATAGTCAGCAGAGTTGCGTTGCGCAGTCGTATGCTGCTGCTTTAAGCCGAACCCTTTTTATGATCAGCGTCGTGTGCTCGGTTTGAAGGTATGCGACACAGCGCACCTGCTGAACAAATACCAAAAAGATTTTGGTTGAGTGTTGAACCTGTAAATTCCTTCTTCAACGACGTACGAGCAGCAGCAGTAAGCGTGTACATGAACAAACAAACGGAATATGTATGTATGTGAAAACCAGAAAATTTTCACATGAATTTCGCATATAAATATATTTATTTACTTAAGTATTATATATGTAAATGTGTGTATATAATTATATGCTTATACATTAATTCGGTGGGTGAAATTAAAAAGCGAGCCAGACAGATGGGCGGAATTATAAAGTAATCATAATTAAATAATTATTATTCATGTGATGGGATGTTGGCAATTAATTTAGGACACACGAGAAGATTTTTATGCCCTTGAGTATTAAATGATCTCACGTTTTTTTGTTTGAAGAAAAACTCTCCGCAAAATACTGATCAATTAATGTTTTTCTAATTTTTCAGCAAAACCCTCAGCTTCCCTCTGGCTTAAATATACTCTCAAATGATTGTCTTTATAAGAGCAGCCAGATTTTCGTAACTTCCTTATGCCTGGTCGAACTTAAGACAAGCCGTTTTATATTTAGGAACCCATAAAATAAAGCTGACTTTGGAAGTATTGAGCCAAAAGGCAAAGCCTCGAATTTCTCTTAAGACTACATTATTTATAATTATCTGCTTCGGAAGACCATAAGAGTTGTTTTCTGGCTGATTGGCTGGTTGAAAGCCATGGAGGGACAATTCTGATAAGGCTTATTTTTCGGTTAATACACGAGCCTTTGTTTGGTTGTGAAAATTTGATTCAGAAAAGGCAGTATTAATTATACAAATGGTTTTCTAATAAGTGGTGCTATTTTGAATAACCTACTATTCCGGTAGATGTCACTTTTGAAGCTGTAATTTTTTGACAAATGAAGCCAGTAATAAAAATCGAACCATACACGCTTCAACAACGCATTGAAATGATTAAAATTCAACATAAAAATGGTAAAACCATGCCAGAGACGGCATGTGAAACTAAGTAAAATTTCGGTAGTTGAAGGTTTGTCCATTCCTCGTCATTCTTTGGAATTTCATTTTGCTTTAAGACTTGAGTCTTAAGGCTTATACAGTTCGGTTAACACAAGAACTTAAGCCGGCCAATCATAAACAAAGTCGTGTCTTTGATTTATTGTTGAAAAGCCTCTCCATCCTCAACGTGTAATTATATGTTGCGGGTTATGCTTCAGCGGGTTCATTGAACCTTATTGGTTCACAAATGAATTGATTGGGCTATCGAGCGATGTTTAATGACTTTTTATGGTAGAAATTGGATGGTATTGATCTGTACAATGTTTACTTGCAAAAAGACGGCACAACGTGCCACACAAGCAACGAAACCGTCGATCTTTTAAGAAAAAGAAAGGCCAACGAAATCTTGCGATAAAAAATTTTGCGATTTCTTGCTTTGTGGCAACGAACGTTAAGGTCTACGCCAATAGGCCAACGTCGATGAAGACCTGAAAGATGGAGTTCGTGTAGCTGTCAAGGTTATACAGCAGCTAATTTACGTTTTGGTAAAGGAAAATTTCAGAAAATGTAAACTGATTTCCGTTATTAATGAAATATTCTCCTCATTCCTTAATTTGATATTCAAAAAAATGGCATTTCTTTGAGATAAATGAACGGATTTAATATTAATGTAAAATGAGAATTTTAATATAAAATACGATCATTTATCTCAAAAAATAACATTTTTCTTTGAATATCAATGTAACACCCCTTATTGGGAAAACAGGCATATTTAGAGCCATCTATTGAATACCAGCCACACAAAGATCAATTGCAATATCGTGGATCTCCTCATTAATTTACGCAAAAGTGTGTTTCATTCGACTAGTGTCCTTAGGATCACATGACCATACCTCAGTGATATAACTTCTTACATTGCAGTGTTTTACTTAGCATAGAGTTGATTGAGGTGGTATATACAGCGATACAAAGATCATTAAACTTTGTTTATTGAACTCGGTGTATATTAATTTGGGAGTTCAAAAGAGTCTAAAACTCGAAGGCTCTTAGTACGAAACTTTAAGGACAACATAAAATATTTCGACAAATAAATTACATAATTCAGCGATCGCGGCAATGATCTTGACGGACAACATTGAAGTGAACGAGCGATGAAAACGTGCTGCAATCTACCTGTTACTGCCAAGCACAATTATGGGAATTATGTGTGTGTTGTATGACAAGTACTCGTATAGACAATGCCAGCACGTGCTGCATTATCTGTAATGCCAGCAACTGACAAAGCGAAACAATTGCAATGATTGCTATAACATGTTTTTAATAACTGCTTAAGGGAGGAGAATGAAAAATCGATTATGTATGTATGCGTGTTTATCGTAGTTGAAAACTTGAAACGGAATGCTTGTCAGCTGATGCTTTAATTGTTAAAAAATCACTACATCATTTACAGAACTACACCAAACGGTGTGAAAAAAACCGCTACTTCAGCAACGCCAACAAGCAAGACGAGCAAGCAGTGATCACCGCTGATCAACATACTTATGTACACACATACATACATACATACACACATAGTTTTAAACTGCACGAAAACTTGTGACGCATTCAATCAGCTGCACTCACGCCTGTCGTTATTGTTTTGACTACCTTGTCGCAAGATTGTTATTGTCATAATTACCAAAAATAAAAACAGAAAAAACCAACAATACCAATTATGCATCACAATAAGCCTGCAGTATTACGTAAAAGATTTTACGATACCAAAATACAAAAAAAAAAAAAAACAAAAAAAAAAAACAAGGGAAAGTCGTCAAGTGTTGCGAAGCTGACTTAAGTTGTTTTAAAAATAAGTTGTGTCTATTTGGAATTCCAACAACAAAAGGAATTAAAATATAAATTCAAAACAACCGGCATACTTTTAATGCAAGCGAATTTCGGCTTTAAGATCTTGTATGATCTTGCGCATTCATTCTAAATATGGCAGTTGCTTTTATTCAAAAAAAAAATAATAATTATTTTAAAAAATAAAAAATACACTCATTAATAAATATTTATACAATACGTAATAAAACATAATGCATGTTTCAGTTTAATTTTTAATTACCCGTAAATGACTCAGCCGAAATGCCTGCAGTCACACCATTGATCGGTCGATCCCAGCTCAGCTTACATATATATATTTTTTGTCATTTAGGTACTTTTTCTCTTAAATGTTTAATTTCATGGTCACTTAATTGACAAAAAAAAAACTGTTCGAATTCAATTAAACTAAACATAAAATTAATTATAACTTAACCTTTACCCTAAGCTGACTTATCGGCCGTGTTGTATGTAGGAAGGGGAGAATTTTACTGCAGTCATCGACAACTAGTTTTTCTGTTTTTCAGGTTTTTACTATGATAATTCGAAATATTGCTAATATTTTAGCCTACAAATACAACAATGTTCAGAAAATCGATTTATTTTTTATAAAAATTTTTGTTTTAATTTCAATAGCCTGATCCTTACGAACAGTCTCAAATGTGCAGAATCACTTACTGAACAGTTTACTTTTAGCACCGGAAGTGTGAATGGCTTTATTCGTGCTTTTCGTGCTCAAGGTTTTTAATTAAGGTGCTAATATTAATTGTTTAATTTAATTATACCGAAGGCATGAATGGACGAAATTGATTCTCAATTTTGTTTCAAATCTAAATTAAAAATCACGAATTATATCTATAATTGGCGTTTTGCAACCGATGAAGCGGGTTTTTTTTCAGCCAAGCACCTACTCCAATTTGTGGTTTTCGCCGCCTTCGAACGGAACCTTTATTTTATGTCCGAAATACAATCGGAGGGGTGGAAATTCCCTGCCAAATTACCAATTAATTTAACAATATACCCATTGTACATGCTTATAGGACCACTGCGCTGTGGTAATAATAGAGCGGAAATAGTGAATGACGTGCAGACGTGTTCATATAAAAAATCATGTCTGCTGCACAGCTTAAGTGTGAAACAAATCGTAAGCAAAGAACTAATCAGATATCCTCTCAGCGTAAAAACAAAGCGACTCAGCTGCTACGACCTATGTTAAGGGGGTAACATTTAAAAATATATTACCACCGTCTGTTTGTACTGTGGAAACCAGCGGCGATTTAATTTCACCGACTCAGCTGATTTCTGCTTTTTGTACAAGATTATCAGTGGAGGCCTCTAGAAAACTAATTTCAAAGAAACTATGAAAATGCTATTTTTTTTTCGAAGTAAATGAGTACTGAAATTGTTGTATATTATAATATAGTTAATGTATATTAGGTGTAGTAAAATGAAATCCATTATTTTTTCCAGTAGATGGCCTTATTTATATATCTGTATCTCGCGTTGTGTATGTCCAATCGTGTGCCGCTAGATGGCGTTAGAAAGATGATATTTCGTACAAAAAAAAACTTTCCCGGCAGTTTTATGATTGGTTGATGCAGTTTTCTTTGAGCGTG